CCGGGGACGCAGCTGGACGCTGGGGCCGCCGTGGGCAACCTGGACGTGCCCCGGGCTGACACTCTAGGAGGGCAGTGACCCAGGGAGCATCTCCCCCAGGAATAAGTTAGGGAGGACAGCAGCCAAAGGGGCTGACAGCATAACTCAGGGACCCAGCGAAGACTGGGAGTCAGAGTGAATTCAAGGAGGGAATGGGAGCGTGTTAGTTTCCTGGGGCTGCCCGAACAAAATGCCACAAACTGGGTGGCTTAAAATAACAGGAATTTATTCTCGCACAGCTCTTGTGACCAGCAGTCTGAAATCATGGTGTCAGCAGGTTTAGCTCCCCCTGAAACCTGTAGGAGGAGAGAGCCCTTCCTTGCCTCTTGCTTGTGTCTTGGCTCTGCCAGCAATCCTCGGCGGTCCTTGGCTCGTGGCTGCATCTGTCTCATGCTCACCTCCCTCTTCACATGGCCTTCTCCCCTGGGGGTCTGTGTCCTCTAATAAGGACATGAGTCAGTGCATTAGGGGCCCCCATCCAGTGTGACCTCATCTGAACTTGATTACATCTGCAAAACCCCTATTTCTACATAAGGTCACATTCACAGGCTCCGGGGTTTAGGACTTCAACATATCTTTTGGTGGGGGCTGGGGGGAGACACAATTCTACACACTAGGGAAAGCAGCACAGACCGTGCCCTGAGCTGGCAGGCGATGCAGGCTCTGGGGCTGTGAAGAAGTCAGTGTGTCTGGAGCTCGGTGGGGGCAGGAGAAAGTGGCCCAGGGGAGGTGGAAAGTGGGCAGCGGCCAGATCACCAGGGCTGGGGAAACGGGGCCGAGCGACTGGGGAATTCACAGCTCTTCAGCTTGGGGAAACACACACCTTTTCCAGCTCGTGCTGGCCTTTTCATAGTCCGCTGCACCACACCTGTGACCGACCTGCCACTCTGGAGCCCCAGAGGTGAGGCAGACATAGTTCCTGCCGGTGACAGCTCTCTGCTCTGGAAAACCAGAGGCTGGAGGGGTCCCCTTTACTGCACGGCGGCTGCCCCCGGTGTCTGCTGACAAGCAGCAGGGGAAACCAGAAGGGCCCTTCCCCGTAAAAATCGGGGAACCTTTTGTTTTCTGTGCAGACTGTCTCTGGGAGAAAAGAAATCCATTCGTGCGATCACTCCACAAACACTCATAGGGTGACACTTACCGGTCGCAAGTGCTGTTCTTGGAAAGAGAGAAGGCAAAACCCCTGTTTTCCTAGAGTCTAAATTCTAGTGGGGCAGGAGGAACCAATGGATCCACCCAAATAACTGTGGGGCCCATTCAGAGGCACCAAGAACGACGCAGAGAAATGAAGCTAGGAAAGGGCACGACGCACACGGCAGGATGTGGGGAAGTTTGAGTCCAAATGCGGTGGTCCCGGGAAAGCCTCGCTGAGATGGTGATACCCGAGCAGAGACTTGGAAGAGGTGAGGGAGTGAATGATGAGGACGCGGAGGAAACAGCAGGTGCAAAAGTCCTGGGGCAGAAGCCTGCCTGCACTATCTGAGAGGCGACAAGGAGGCCAGGATGCCAGGGTGGAAAGAGGGAGATGGAAAGGACAGGATGTGCTCAGAGGTGACAGGGCTGGACCCCATGGGCCTTGAAGACCTCTGCCAGGCTTGTGGATTTTGCTCCGAATAGGATGGAGCCCTCTGAGCGTTTTGAAGCAAATGGGCTTACTTGCTCTGGCTTCCCTTTCAAAGGATCACCCTGGCTGTTGTTTCCAGAACGGATTGTCAAGGGGCAAGTGCCAGGAAGATGAGTCCAGAGACTGCCGCAAGAATCCAGGTAAGAATGGTGGTGTTTTGGACCGTGTAGTGAGAGGAGGTCATATTCTGAATATATTTTGCTGATGGGTTGGGCAGGATGAGTGAGAGAAGGGAGTGTGAGGTTGGCGAACCCCAAGGTTGTAGCCTGAGTGACTGAAAAGACAGAGTCGCCATTAACAAAGGTGGAGACAATGGCAGATGTATAGATTTGGGGGGAAAGATGAGAGTTTGTGATGACGATCAGAGGCAGTCCAGGAGAGTGGGGGCCCAGAAGCCAGATGAGGAGCAAGTTTCAAGGAGTGATTGACTGCAACAGAGGCAGTTCAGGATCAAGTCAAAAAATGACTCAGAATAACCACTCTAGAAAAGCATTTACAACTTGGAAATGAGGACAAAGGGTCTCCTGACATATTTAGATTTTTTTGTGTGTGCTTACCTATTGCACCAGACATAATAATTACTTGATTATTTTAAATAGGAACCTAATGTTAGTTTCGGTCTGTCCTTCCCACTAGAAGTTCTGGGAATTAGGAAACTATTTTTGTCTTTGCATCTTTGGTACCTAGCACAAATCATGGCCCCATAAGGCAAATGATCATTGAAAAAAAGGAACCACAGGGCTTTTGACTGCACACATATAGTGATGTAAGTAGCTGAAGTCAGCAAGATTAAGTTTGGCTGCCAAATAAAGTAGAAATGTATTTTTTCTCTCATATATATGAAGTCTAGAGGAAAGAAGTTCAGGACTCACAGGAAACTCCATAGTTTTCAGAGTCTTTCAGTCTTGTTGCCTTCCATTCTCCCGAATGTGGATTTGCCTCATGGTTCTACATGGCTGCCTAAGTGCCAGACATCACTTCTACATTCTGGCTAGCAGGAAGAGGCAAGGAAGGGTTCTCTCCTACAGGTTTCAGAGGGACCTAAACCTGCTGACACCTTGATTTTAGACTTCTGGTCTCAAGAGCTGTGGGAGAGTAAATTTCTGTTGTTTCAAGCCACCCAGTTTGTGATGCTTTGTTAAGGCAGCCCCAGGAACTCCCTCTTTGTTCCTGAAAACTCTTTGAGGAACTCACTCCGGACAGTTGTACTTATATCTACTTATGAGAAACTCGTCATATGGCCACACTAGCTGCACAGGAGGCTGGGCAATTTAGTCTTTACTCTGGGTAGCCATGTACCTAGCCAAGAATCAGGGGTCCTATTACTAAAGTGTTTTATTACCAGGGTTCCCTTTCTGGTTCTACTTCTAGTAGAGTGTTGTAACTGGCACTCTCTAGCAGAGCGGCCCAACCAACCTCTCCCAAAAGGCCCTCAGTGTCGAGTCCCAGAAAGCTGGGACTCGACACTGGTCTGGCCCAGCAAAGTGGGATTTCACCCTGCGAGTGGGCAGTGCTACCCCCAGGGAGCCTCACTGGGGGCTCATGGCAGGAAGGAGGAAATGGTGGAATAAAAATGGTCTCAGTAGTCTTCTGGGAGTGCTGGGCCACAAAAAGCGTGTGAAGGAGGGAGAACATGCGGGCACGACTCTCCGCACCAGGGATCAGGTGCCATGGGTCTTCTCCTAGGCCCCTTCCCCAGCCTGCATGCGGGGAGGCGGAAGACTGCACCAGGGAGGTGCTACGGAGAGTCCCTCCCCATGCCCAGACGTCCTCCCAGAGAGTCACCCGCGTTCCTACCAGGTCTGGGGGTGACCCTTGGAAGACAGTGACTGCTGTAGCCCTCTGGGTCCACTGGGAGCAGGCGGGCTGTGACAGCCCCAGGGGCACCAGCTGTGGGGGCGCTGGAAGGCATGCCCCCACCCCTGGCAGCTTGGGCACAGGCTGTGAACCTGGGAACCATGGCAAAAGCACTCCTGGAGCCGCTGACAAGGGCGCTTCCCCGAAACTGCAGAGAAGCCTCTAGAAGGTGACATTAAGCACAACACCACACTAGTGGAACCCAGGGAAGGAAACAGGCTGGCGTCAAAGCACAAAGTACTCGGGCCTTGGGGAACCGACTTGTTTCAAGTTCTCGTCCCGCCACTTTCTAGCTGGGTGACCGTGAGCAAGTCACCTCCGTGCTGAGGCTCAGTCTCCCCCAGCACCTAAAATGCCAAGATGATTGGCATTTTGATGCCAATGATGATTACTGAATGTAATCATCCCCAAGTTGTGACCCGCTCTGGGATTCTGATTTCAGCTCTGTGCGATTGTGAGTTCCAACTACTGCAGATGGGAAGGACATCCTTTGGGGGAAGGGTCAGACCCATGCGCTCTTTCTAGAATCCACAGCTATGTTACCTCTTCTTTTCTGCCATATTTTGCCGGGGCCCTTGGTCTTCTAGCTCCTTCAACCTTCTAAAATAAATCTTCTTTTCTTGAGTGCTGTGTCCCTTGGCACACCAACCAGAGTCTCCGCATGTTCCCTGCCACAGACTGGTCTCCACACAGCAGCCAGAGTAACCTTAAGATGCAAATCGACCCACATAGAGTCGCTCAGTGACTGGCCACCAGTCTCCCTGCCGGACCCCAAGAACCCAGCGTGTCCTGGCCACTGCTGAGCCCCCCAACCTCCCATAGACTCCTTGCTCCCTCCTCATGGTCTGCGGCCACACCAGCCACCTGAATCCATCTCAGCCACCTGAATCCATCTCCTCCGCCCGAAGTCTTCCCATCTCGGGGTCTCTCTGGGAACATCTTCCCCATCCTCGTGGCAGCTGCTCCCCCAGGTCCTGGCTTGACTGCTACCTCCCTAGGGAGGGCTCTGCTGCACCCCGGCACAGAGGTGCTCCCCCCAAATTATCTTCCTCGTCCATGTTTATTGTTGTTATAGTTAAACACAAGTCAGCCGCCTGTTTGTTCCGTCTGTTGGCTTGCCATCCGCACTGGATGCGTTTTCCAGCACAGGGAGGCCTGGTCCCTCCTGCGCAGGACCACATCCCCAGAACCAAGCTAAGAAGGTACCCATGTGATATTTAACTAAATGCATATTTACATAAACATATAAAATATTTAACAACATATTTGCTAAAAGAGGAAGGAAGAAAGCAAGAAAAGACAGGGAGGGAGAAAAGAAGGGAAGGAGAATTTCAGGAACTTGCAGACTCAACATTTAAGCCCAGGTTTGCCTACCCCAAATCCCACTCCCTTTCTACTCCCCACACCGCCATCAATCAATGAACACCCCACCCTGGAGCTGGCACCACGCTGGAGAACACGTATGCACGAGACGTTTGCAATGTAACTGAGGAAGCTGAACATGCACATAGCACAACAATGAGCATGAAAGAAAAAACAAAAGGAAGCCATTAGCAAAACTTGCTGTAGAAGAATATTTAATTATAAAGAAGGATGCTTATGACAGTCTTAATTTAAAAAGCATGTTTTGAAAACAGCATGTAAAATATAATCTCCTCCCTCTAATATACATATGTACATTGAAAATGTACTGGAAGATCATACACCAAAATGTGAGCTGGTTATATTTGACTGGGTGATTATTGGTATTAATTTGGTTATATTTGTTTATCTAAATTTTCTACAGTGATTACCATTTTTGGAACAAGAAAAAAAGTCATTAAAAGTATATTTATGCATGCACGTTAAATCCGTCATAAGCTGCAAGGTCAGTAGTGATTACCACAGAAGAGGCAGGCGAGTGTTCAGGCCAGGCTTCCAGAAGGAGCGGAGGTGGGGTCTGAGGGGTTCATGCAGGGTGGAAGGGCATTTCCTGCTGCCATTTGCCCACAGTGATGCTAGGCAGCGGCCCTAGACCCCTCACAAGTGTGCTGCCTCTTCAGGTCTCAGAGGGAGAAATGCAACTGTGGCTGGGCCCTTCAGAGGCCCCTCCTGCCTGGCCTTGCCCTAAAGACTCCTTGGCCTCCACTCCCTTCATCCAAAGCATCCCCGACAGCATCCTTCCTCGGGAGACCCAGCAGGAGCTCACAGGTCTGTATCACCCAGGGATGCACGAGTGCAGGTGCTACCATATGCAACAGGACATGGAGAACGGGGTCGGAGTGAGAGGGCTTGGGCCCGGGGGCAGTGCGGCCACTCCCCACTGGTTGGCTGAGTGCCACAGCAGGAGCCATTGCATCTTGGAGTGTCAGTTGTCTGTAAAATGGGGTAATGAATCTCCCACAGGATTGTTGCAAGGTCAAAGGGAGATCAGTTTAGTGAAATTAATGAGAAAAGGACAGAAATGCTGCTTTCTGGAGAAGTGACCACTCACTAGTGTGAGCAAGTAACGATTCCATGTCAAATCATGCAGGAGCTCACTCCCGCTGGGTAACAGAAGGAGGGTACAGCAGTCCCTGCCCACAGGCGCTGAGGATCGGCGGGGTGGGGAGGCCTGGGCAGAAGGCAGCAGGGATCACATTCACAGGGATGTGCCCAGCGGGAAGTGGGGGCTGCCAGCCTGCCCAGCACAGAGGAAACCTCTCCCAAGAAGGGGTGGACTGAAGAGCGAGCAGAAGACAGTTTCATACCGAGCACCCGATATGTGCCGGGAACCCTATCATCTCTAATATAAAGCCTTGCCGGGGAGCTATCATCATCATCATCACCGTTTTAGAAACAAGGAAAGTGGGGCACAGAGTGTTGAGTGACCTCCCCGAGGTCACACAGCCGGACAATGGCCTCTCTACCTTCACTCTGTGCACCGTGATTTCCACCTGGGGCTGAGGGCCCCCACCAGAAGGGCGGTGCAGTCGTAGCCCTGATGGTGAGGTAGGGAGGGGACGAGGGCGATCTGAGAAGCTCTCTGTTCCCCTTGGCAGCTGTCTTTCCATTCGTACCCCTCCCTCTGCACCCCTGCATAGGGCTGTTGAACACAGAGGCACCGTCCCACCTCCTCAGCCTCCAAGCACACTATTCTTTGTGACGCTCTAAACCCAGGGGCTTGTCTTCCTAAGGGCAGGAGGAGAACTGAATCCAGCTCCTTCCTGGAGGGACAGGGTAGGAGATGGGGCAGGCAGAAGGGAGAGGGGACACAGGAACTGCTCCAGGCAGGGAGGCCCCGAGGTCCAAAGAGGGTAACAACTTCAGGCTTGGCTCGTGGAGAAGTGTCCGGTCTCAGGAGCAGCAGATTGGAGCAGGGTTCCAGGTGCCAGGCGGGGCAGGAAGGGAGGGAGGCCCCAGAGCCGTGTCAGGGTCCCTGCAGGAAATCTCTAAGGAGGGGGTGGCTCAGGGCAGGCTGGGGTGCAAAACACCTGTCTACCAGCTGTGGGTCAGGAGAGGGCAGAAGCTAAAAGGGAGAGCTCTAAGACTTGACTGTGGCCATATGCAGGGGCAAGGTGCCATAGTGGATAAGAAGCAGGGACTCCAACCTCGACTGCCTGGGTTTCAATTCTGGCTCTGCCACTTACTAGATTCTCAGGTAAGTAAATTAACCGCTCCATGCCTCAGCTTCCCCATCCCCACGAGGAATGATAATTGCATCTGCTTCATTGTTGATAAGAGAAAAGAAAACTGTCCATACGGTTGATGCGGTTGAAGCCTTAGAAGGGCATCTGGGCACAGTTCGCACCACCTGGACCAGAGCTGGGCACACCTTCTATGTAAAGAGCCAGAAGGTCAATAATTTAGGTTTTGCTAGCCAGATGGTCTCTGTTGCATATTCTTTTTTTACTCTTCAACTCTTTAGAAGTGTAGCTCAAGGTCCTTATAAGCACAGACCACTGGCCAGAATAGCCCGGAAGCCATAGTTTAAGGGCCCCTGATCTAGACTAAAGGTGACCCTAGAGGTGTAGGTATGGTTGAAGGTGGGGCATGACAGTGGCTTTCTGCACCGCATAGGGGTAAAGACTGCAGTGGGGAGAGCTCTGGGAATGGGGTGGACTTGGCGATGAGACCCAGGACAAGCAGTGTGCAGGAAACCTGGCAAGACTGGCAGTCCGGGGGGAGGACAGACTGGGCCCACTAGGAGCTCTTTTCTCTGAGCCCCAGGCCCACTTGCTGGCAGTTTGATAAGCACATGGGGCTGGAGCCTCTGAGGAGAGCAAGCAGAGTATCATTCATAACGGGTGACACCGCATCTGTCCTTTACCAAACATTTACAAAGCATTCACTATATCCTAAGCCACGAACGAGACAGACGGGACCAGGCTCCACCCCTGGAAATCTTGACTGGCAGGTTGCACCTTGACAGAGCTCCTGTCCCCAGGAGCTGCACTCTTCTCCATGAACTCCTCAGCCTTCAGTGGTTCCTGGCACTCTGGTCAGTGCTTAGGAATCTGAGAGCTTGTTGTTCTGTCCTTCTGGAGAGAAAGGAAGAAAAAGATCTGCTGACTATGAAACGGTAGTAGGACAGTGCCCACCCCTGCCCAGCACTGCTCAGCTGGCACAGCAGACAGGATGCCCTGAGAATGAAGACGTCAGAGCACTTGATACATGCCACTTATTCCAGAAAGCTCCCTTCACCACCCTGGACACCAGGGTCCTGAGAGGCTCCTAGCGGTGGGCCCTGACCATCAAAGGGAGTGACAACATATGACAGAGATCTGGAAATACCTCATGACCAAACTGAAAAATAAAGTATTTATTTTATCACAAAAATAGCCAAATAGGCCGAGGCAGGCGGATTACTCGAGGTCAGGAGTTCGAAACCAGCCTGAGCAAGAGTGAGACCCATCTCTACTATAAATAAAAAAAGAAATTAATTGGCCAACTAGTATATATAGAAAAAATTAGCCGGGCATGGTGGCTCATGCCTGTAGTCCCAGCTACTCGGGAGGCTGAGGCAGGAGGATTGCTTGAGCCCAGGAGTTTGAGGTTGCTGTGAGCTAGGCTGAAACCATGGCACTCACACCAGCCTGGGCAACAAAGCGAGACTCTGTCTCAAAAAATTAAAAAAAAATAGCCAAACAGTTACCATGTTACAGTCACCTGACATATTATATTTTATTTTCACAACAACCCAGCATGGTACATATCACTGTTGCTATTTAACAGATTGGAAAACTGAATTCAAGGAAAGCTGCCTAAGGAGTCTAAGGTCATGCTGTTCACAACGATGGAAGAGTGAATCAGAAACCCATGTATTCTGTGCCCCACACATGGTGGACTCCCTGCTGTGCTCCCCCAGCATCCTATTCCATGAGATGATAAAGTACAGTTGTATCTGGTGGGTCATCGTTTTTACCTTGACTTATCTCCTGCACGGCTCTCTGGGCCTACATTTGTTGCAGGACACATGGTCAATCCCTAACGTGTATGTGAGCAATTGACAAATGGATTGAGTTTCTTTTTACACAGAAATGAAAGTAACACCACATATGAGAATGAGCAGGAGGGCACAGAAAAGTCAGTTCTGACCACGCCGGAATAATGTGGTGGAATTGGCGTGGCAAAGAAAAGCTAAATATCTTAGAGAGGGCATCAACAGTACATACCTTAAGCTGGCCACTTGTTTTCCACTTGTAACTGTCCAAGACACCTGCCAACAGGAGGAAAATAGTATGTGTGATCACCTTGATCACCTGTGATCACCACCAGAGGAGGAGCCACAGTTTTACTGCTTTACTGTACAGCTTTGCAGGCCATGTATCTCTCTCCAACTACCCACTCTACCATTGTAAGAGGAGAGCAGACACAGACAATGTGTAAAGAAATGGGCATGGCTGTGTTCCAATAAAACCTTATTTACAAAAACAGGTTGGGTTATGTGGCTGGGACCCTGAAATACAAGAGCCCTCTCTGTGAAAGTGAATTAAGACAGGGAGGGACAGAAAGTGGAAGAACAAACCTTTCTTGAGTGCCCACTTGGTACGAGGCACTTAACTAACATTTCACCCACACACAGTGGGCAGGTGTGTAGGTATACGTCGTTGCTCCTGTTTCATAGGCCAGGGATTGGCAAAACTTTTTTTGTAAGGTCCAGGACTTAAATATTTTGGCTTTGTGGGCTATGTCATCAACTGTGCCATTATCCAGCGAAAGCTGTATGCACCATCTACAGCTTGTATAGACGATACATAAATGAACAAGCATGGCTGTGTGTCAATAAAAATGTAGAGGCATAGTCTTCTCCTTAAAAAAAACATGGCAACAAATAACCAAAACAGAAAAAAAAATCAAAAGATTAAAAAAGAAAAAAAGTTGAAATATATATACATATATATGTATATATTATTCCAGCTGGAGCCAGTGGAAGAACTCCATGGAGGGGCATTTGGCAGGATGGGAGGGAGCACTCGCTGGGACTCTGTTCTTTCTGTTCTGTTTCGCGCTGCCCAGGACGCCCCACCTCTGATGGCTGAGAGCCACCCTCTCTCTCCTTCCTCCACCCGTCTGTCTCTTTCCTCACAGGTTGCTTTCTTAAACACAGGCTGTTTTCTCCAACACCTTCCCGTCTTTCTCCGGCATGCCCCTCTGGCGTCCGGGCGGCGTCCCTGGAGACAGAGACTTAGCAGGAAAGGGACAGGGAAGAGGGGAAAGCAACTGCCCTGGAGTCACTGGGGCCCCACCCACCCCCGGGCAAGAATGCGAAGGGCGTGTGGGGTTAGGGGTGGGGGTGCGGCGTGTGCAGGGAGCCGGGAACACTGGAGGACAGCTCCGAGGAAAGGTCACGCCGCTCCCGCGTGAGAAAGCAGCCTGAAGAGGGGCCGTCCTCTGGCCCAGGGCAGCGCGGGCTTAGCCGGGCGAGTGCCAGACTTGGCGCAGCACGCAGGGTTGTATAACCATCTCGGCCCTGCTGGTCACTGCGCAACACCAGGCAACCCTCGGACGAGAAAAACAAACTCCTGAACGCCTGCCAGACAGGGACAGTCCAGGGAGTAAACAGAAGAGTGATTGCACCCCAGGGACCCCCTAACACGCCTCCCAGTCCTGCCGGACTAATAATAATCACAGTAACGACATTTATGGAGCACTCACATGTCAGGCACGTGTGCTCAGACCTTTATACACACTATTTCTCCTTTATACACACTATTTCTCCTTTATGCACACTGTTTCTCTAATCGCCCAGGAAGGTCTGTGGGGAAGGTGATAAAATTATCCCCATTTTACAGATGGGGAACCTGAGGACCAGGAACTGAGCTCAGATCATCCATCGAGCCATTTACTGGAGGAGCTGAGATTGGAACTCAGGCCACCTGACTCCACAAGCTGCAGGCAGCTGGGTATGCGGCAATGAGAAAAAACAAAGATCTTGGAACTTGGGTTATGTGGAATCAGATCTTAGCTCCACTACTTCTAGCTCAATGGCCTTGGATTCACTGTGTTCAGGGTCTGTGGTCTCACTGGTATCATGGCGACTCCCAGGTCTAGGGTGATAATGAGCAGGGGGGATGTATTTAGAGAGGCTGCCAGTAGGTCCTCCATAACTAGGGTTGGATCTCACGGGATACACAGCCCCTGCTACCTCCCAGAGTATAACAGGGGTTCTTCCTGAACCTCAGGCTTTTCCTCAGCTCCCCATCCTCCTGGGCTGCACACTCTATTCGGTGAATTCCCAACAAGGGTTCCAAATTCTAACAAGTGACCCTTTCTGAAAAAAACACACTCTCTGATAATCTAGCCCCTGGGTTTCCCCCGTCAAAGTCAGTCCCAGGAAACAAGGGAAATTCAAAGGGCAGACAATTCAACCAACTCAATGTGCCCATTTTCTGGAAGTCTGGGCACACAATCTGGTGAGAAAAGAAACAGAAACCATGAGCTCACAAAAGGCAGGTAGTAACGACACAGTCTTCTGCCGAGTTTCAGAAAATTAATTGAAAGTAACTCCTCCAGTCGGGACCTCCTTGGAGGTAAACAATTCCATAAATGTAGAATTATCAATCTCAGAAAAGAACATTTTTCTTTGTCTGAAAAATACCTCTTCACGACTCAATAAATCTCTGGGTCCCCCACTCCCACAGGTTGGGGGAGGTGGAGGGGAAGGTCCGCGTATAGAACTAAACTTCAGCATAATTGGCTTTCTTTACAATCCTGAGGATTTTATTATATGCATTTTTAAAAGCATTATTCTGAAAAGGTGTCCATAACTTTCCCAATTTGCCAAACGAGTTTAACAATACCAAAAAAGAAAAAAAATTTTTTTTCCAGTCTTCTCTGATCCTGGTGTTCCAGGCCCTAGAGAACTCACATTTCTCTTGCTCTTCATAAAATCATTTTCTAAAGGTTTTTGAGAGGTTTACAGATAGGATCATGTTGTTTCCCCCTTTCAACTTCCCTGTGGAAATCCTGGTTTGTCTGCAATGTGTGTAACAGTGGAAGAAAAAGGGAGACACAAAGGAGTGATTCTCTTCTAATGTATATATGACCCCTGCCCCCTGCTATGGTGGGGTCATATGCATAACTGTGCATATGCATAACTGTGTAATATGCACAGTTGTGCACAAGTGCAATATGCATAACTGTGCTATGCATAATTGTGTTTAATTATCTGTACTCCTTCATGGCCTGAAAATTCTAGGGCAGGGGCAATGTTATGTCTTTGTATCCTAGTTATGGACTGAATGTTTGTGTCCTCGTTCCCCCAAATTTATATGCTGAAATCCTAACCCCAAGGTGACGGTATCAGGAGGTATGGCCTCTAGGAGAGAATTAGGTCTTAGGAGTGGAGCCCTCATGATTGGGACTAGTACCTTTGAAAGGGACCCCAGAGAGCTCCCCTCCCCCACCTATCGTGTGAGGACATGGCAAGAAGGGACCCATCTACAAACCAGAAATGGGCCCTCACCGGACACAGAATCTGTTGGCGCCTTGTTCTTGGACTTCCAAGCCTCCACAACTGTGAGAAATAAATTTCCCCTCTGGTATTCTGCTATAACAGCCTGCGTGGACTAAGACAGTAGGTCTCTGATACCTGTTGGATGCATGCATGAAGAGAAAAGAAAGAGTTTTACCATACACAGATTCTCTCATTTCCATGGGTAAATTTTCCTTCCTTGAGCAAATCCCTAGGCATTTTCCCTTGGCTTCAGAGATCTGTTTAGAATTCTTGGCCTTTTCTTCTTATTTGGGCCACATGGAGGACACGTTGGCACAGCCTCTGCCCTCTGGGGTCAGGGCCTGGCCGTGCCTTCTCACCCACATGGAGTTTTTCCCTCTCTCCTCCTCTGGGCATGCCGCAGAGTGAAGACTACAGCCTCTTTAGAAACCACTACACGACTAGCAAAACTGCCTCTTGCTTGTGGATTTATTTGGGAGTCATGGCAATAAATGAAAGAATGAGGTTTTCTTGAACAATGACTCTATACCAGGCCGAGAACTGGGCTTCTCACAATTGATATTTAGAGGCCACATTCTTTTCCAGTGCACTTGCAACGTTCACCACCATATGCTGAGCCATAGAATAAGTCTCTAAACTTTCAAAGGACTGGAGTCATGCACAGCATCTTTTCTGAGAATAATGGAAATAAATTAAAGTTAGATGTTAACAACAGTAGACGCTTCAAAAATCCCCAAATATTTGGAAATGAGGAAACTCGCTCAGTGCTTGGCACAAAGGAGGCCTTTGATAGTGTCAGCGCCAACCCCAACCCTGTTCCAACAACTTTCTCCATCTCTGCTGGTGCTAAAGGTGAAGGTCAACTGTGGCCAAGTACACAGCCCAAGTCCTGAGCATGCCACTCACTGCCCAGTCTGCACAGGGAGCTGGGATAATGAGTTAACACTGAACTCCGCCCTGAGCCCCTGGGCTTTCACCAGATCCATACTTAAACAGGAAGATCTCTGCCAAAGTGAGGTCCCACCCCACTCTCCACTCTGAGGACCCCCAACTTTTCTGAGGGGGCTGTCCAGGTGTGGGGTGAGGCTTGATTTGGTGATGGATCTTGTGCTGCTTACTTAGAATTTTACCTGCCAAAAAAAATAAAATCAAATCAGTTTTGTGTAGGGAATATAACTGTCATGTCTTAAGGAAAAAAGCCAAAGTAGCACATCAGGAATGCCTGTCTGATGTTAGAGGGCTTCCATGACAGCAGCAATGCAGAAAACCAGCAAGAACCAACTCTCCAAGTCATTCAAAGTAAAAGGCTGGTGTAGTTCTGACATTCTTTGCATTGGGGGTTGAAGTGGGACCTAAATTTTACTTAAGAGTTTACCTGAGCTTTTCAAGGCTGAAAATTGGATCCATGTTTTTGGTTCATTACAGGAATGGCAATTGTGTTGTTAATGACCTGCCACTCATAAGAACCAAAAGGTGGAGTGATGTGTTATTGCCAGACACGTGAAATGAATAAACAACAGCCATTTCCTATAGCAAAGTTGGTTGCAGCATCATTTTCCTACAGATCAGGAAAAATTACCTGGATATGAATAAGTGAGAAATTAAGACCTTAATTAAAACACACCTGAAGAGGTTGGTACATGACAAAGTTTCTCAGAAATGAGTTCACAGAGGTTCCCACCAGGATTCCATCAAGAGAAGGGAGTTAGAAATAGGTGCAATTAGAGCCTAATTTTGTCACACCCTGGCTCTGGGACCCTAGGCAAGAGGTTCCACCTCAGTTTCCTCATCTGTAAAATGGGGATGGTAGTAAAGGGACCTGCACCCGGGGGTCATCGTGAAGACTGAGATGCTGCACCAAGATACTTGGCAAGTGCCAATCACATAAAAATAAACAACATTGAGCACCAGCCATACAATCCAAGCAATCATACTAAATTAGAGCAATCCTGGGAAGAAGATAGGTTATTCTCATTTGGTAGATATAAAAATTAAAGCTTAGGAAAGCTAAGAAATTTGCCCAAGGACACAGCTGTAAGCTGTAGAGGTAAGAGTCAAATTCGGTCTAACCCTAGAGCCTTAAGAAACTTCCAGTCTAATAGGAGTGACCAACAGAAGCCACTCACAACAATTCTGGGAGGACAAGGCAAACTACTCCAGGGATAATACACTAGAGCCAATGGCAGTCTGGAATCACCCTGCAGGAATACAAGGCTACACTGTCCCATTTGAACTAGGCCTTAAAGGATGTTTTGGTTTTCACCAGGAGGAGGAGGAGGTAAGAAGGGCCTTATGAGTGGAAAATCCATACTAGCAAAGACAAGAAGATATTAAAAGAAATTCTTGGCCAGGTGCGGTGCCTCATACCTGTAATTCCAGAACTTTGAGAGCCTGAGTTGGGACGATCACTTGAGGCCTGAAGTTTGAGATCAGCCTGGGCAACATAGCAAGACTCCTATCTCTGCCAAAAAAAAAAAAAAATTAGTCAGGCACAGTGGTGTGCACCTGTAGTCTTAGCTACTCAGGAGGCTGAGGCAGGAGGCCCACTTGAGTTCAAGCATTCCAGCATGGGTGACAGAGTGAAACCATATCTCTAAAAAAAAAAAAAAAAAAGAATTAGGAATTCTCTGATTTGGTAAGGCTAACAAGACAGCTGTTGTGTTGAGAGCCCGAGCCTCAGATGAACTCATTTCTGTGCCTTTGCAAACATTCTGGTTAGCACAGCACTGTGGGTAGGAGCAGAGGCTCCGGTGTCTGATGAACTATTTTGACATAATTAAGCTATGTGATTTGAGGAAGAGACTGACCTCTCTGGTCCTGAAGTGGGTGTACCTCTCACAGGAAGGTAGCATAGTGACACTCTGAGCAGCTATGAGGCTTAACTAGGGTGCTCCATGTAAACACTCGGCATCAAGCCCCCCAGGATGCTGGTGCTTACGTTTCAACTCCACCAGATGTGTCCTGTGTCTCCAGTGTCATCCTTCTGCCCGCTGCCCGGACCCCTTCCACCCACCAGCTGGCATCTCTCAAGGAGCTACTAACTAGTTCATGTCCTAAAAAAGGAACGTCTCAGGAACCAAAGAGAACGAGAGGCTTGGACTATTACCATCACTAGAGATGAGTTCCCGCTGAATACAACTCGTCAACTCTCAGCCACATTTAGGGATCTGACTTCATCCCTTTTGCAAAACACATTTCTGCTAAATAACTGTGATGCAATGTCATTTGAACTCTAACCATTTGACAGCTGCCCAGCGAAAGCGCTTTCTGCCTGGACAGCAATGGTTTCCCTACTAATCTTTGTGTTTTATTGTATAAAACAGGACGACAGGTTGGAGACTTTAATGCAAAGGTGCATTTGCTTTAGGCTCTCCTCTGACCGCTCACAAACTCTCGGATCTTGAGGGTCTTGTTTTGTGTCTGGGCTTGACGAGGCATTTGTGTTACTCAGACTTTAAATCAAAGATTTTAAGATGTATGACTTTTCAAATTTCAACATCTCCAAAATAGATGTGTCCTACAACCAGTGTCATGCAGTAGTTTAACTGGAAGCGTTTATTTCTTAGTGCACATAAATTAACAGTGAGTCGTACAAACGATGGCATCTTAGATTTGAGAAACTTTCCTATGTGCTGAGAAGCATGTTTAGAGAAAAACAAAACTTGCCTCTCTCTAAACAACAACCACATGAATATATATTATCATTCCTAACCTGCAGATGAGAAATCTGATGCAGATTTTCTTTTTACAGAGTGCTAAAAAACTTTTGCTCAAGATTACCTAGCTTAGTGTGTAGAAAGAAGGAAGAGTTAGGGTGGGATTCTCCTCACTACTGCAGATTCCACATCACTGCAAAACTTAGTTGTAATATAATAATTATAATAATATAAAAATAATAATTAGTTGTAAAATAATAATCGTTTTATGTTGCTTCTGAGTTTTGGGTCCGGGGCTTGGCTGAGTGGTTCTCACTTGGGGTTTTCCATGCCCTTGTAGTCACGTGTCCGCTAGGCTGTGCTCATCTGAAAGACAAAGGGCCCACAAGTCCAAGATGGCCTCTGGCGTGGCCGCCGGCCAACGCTTGCTGCCGCCGGAAGCTCCATGCAAGCTCCAGAGCACCCGCCAGGGGCCTCTTCCGCAGGACAGTCCCAGTGCTTCCCCTAGAAGGAGCACACCAAGAAAACCATGCGGGAGCTGTGAGAAGCGGTCACAGGTCTGCACAGACTCAAGGGAAAAGACGCAGATCCATCTTTCAATGGGAAGAACATCAACGTACGAGAGAATTTTGTTTTCAAACCACCACAAATGGACAGCCTGGTCTGACTGGTACAAAGACCCCGTATTTGGGATGGCTCGACTGGTGCCCAGGAGCAAAGAAAGGGAGACCGTGAAGTAAATGCAAAGAGGAGGCCTTTGAACAGATTTAAGAGGACTAGTCATGTAGCTTCAATTGCAAAGTATTCGCTTTGAGACCTCAGACACGGGGCCAGCGTTGCTCTCATTGTGAAGAACATATGTGGAGCGTCCCGGGAAGTGGTTTCAGGACCACCTTAGCAGGCTTGCGAGAAATATCAGGCTTAGAACTTTGTCAGGCATATCTTATTTCTAATCGAAAATGGCTTTATTTAGTTTAATAAATATTTAGTGAGTGCCGCTACAGAATGTTTTGGTATCTGTGGATACCCTGATGCACAAAACAATGCCTCTTTCTTCACTTGGCTTGTATTCTGGTGGGGGGATGCAAAAATCACCAAATCTGTAATAATGTCCCCATGTCAGCGGATAACGGTAAGAATAACCGTTATAAGGATAACGGTAGAAAATGAGGCGCAGAGAACCTATTTTAGAGGGGTGGTCAGTTGGTAGTTGACATCTGAGCAGAGACCAGAGCGAAGTGAGGAAATGGGCCAGGCAGGTGTGCAGGACAAAGAGTATTCTGGAAAAGGGAGATATTATGTGCAAAGGCCCTGAGGCCAGACGGTGCGCAGCAAGGAGGCCGGTGTGGGGACTGCAGCGAGCAAGCGGGAAAGTGGCAGGAAGGGCAGGCCTTGTAGGGCTCAGAAAGGACTCTGGATTTGTAATACTCTGAGATGAGACTCATGAGAGAGTTTTAAGTGGGTGAATCCCAAGGTTTGGTTTAGATTCTTAAAGGATCCCTTTGGTTGCTGAGTAAGAATGAAGGGTGGGGTAGAAACATGAAGATGGGTTAGGAGGCTCCTGCAGGAATCCAGGCCAAAGGTGCTGGTGGCTTTGTCTGCATTGTCATTGGTGGGGAGGGTAAGAAGGGGAGGGAAGGGCACAGACTACACAGGCTTTGCTAATGCTAATGGTCACATCTACCAGTATAGTGCTTAACTCCATGAACGAGGTATATTTCAAAATAATGCTTGGTTATTGGCCAGATTCAAATGTGACCTCTACAGAGGGTGGCGATTTGGGCAGTAGAAAGTGAGAGAGACCCAGATCACAGTGGCTCCTCACAGGGGCTGGGGGTCTTGTCCCCCACTGCGTGGAAAGGGCAGGGACATGGGCACTAGCCCTTTCTCTCCCACACCCGCCCCCTGGCAAGAAAGATGTGAGGAGGTTCAAAAGAGTTAGCCACTAACTGGAAAGACCCTTTCAAAAAGGAGTTCAAAAATAGATCTAGAACCTTCTAAAGGGGTTGCCAGGAGAGACCCAAGACCATTTGCATGGGTAAGTTTGGGTATTTTGGTCATTCACTTGGTGACACGACTTGGTAGTCACAGCCCCTCCTTCTTTGCAAGCCAACATTCTCTAAAGAGCCCTTTTTTGTCAAAAAGAAACTATCACTGTGGCTGCTTTGAGACATATTTTAGGGGGGGTTTCATGCTCCATGAATCTCAGAAGTGAAAGGGTCAAGGTTCTGCTTAAATACCACAAGTGGCCCAATGATGGGACCAAGATGCAAACCCAAGCCTATAATAGTGACTACTTTTCTTTTAATTTTATTTTCACAGACACATCTGCAGCCACTATGTCATGGGCAGTGTCCTAATCATTCATAAAATGTTTACTCATTTAAAGATCCGAACAGTCATATTAGTTTGGTACTGCTGTTCTTCTTCATTCAGTACTCAACACACATTTACTGAGCATTTTACAGATAAGGAAAGTGAGGCAGAGAGAAGTTCAGTGACTTGTCCAAATTCACACAACAGAGCCAAGTTTAGAACCCAGGAACTCCGGCTCTAGAATCTGGGCTCTTAAGTGCCATGCTAAGGTACCGAACACTGTGTTTTGCTGGAAATTTGTGTTATCTATTAAAAGTACTTTCAGCTTCAAATAAGACACAGCCCAACTTAGAGCAACTTAAACAACGGGATTTGTTTCACATAACAAGAAGCCTGGAGGTAGTCTCCTGCCTTGGACTGATGGAATGGCTTAACAGTGCTATCGAAGGTCCAGTGTGTTTCCATCTTCCCTGCTCCACCATCTCAGTCTATTGGTTTGTCACCCCCTGCTTACAAAATAACTGCTGCACCTTCAGGTATTATATCCAAGATCCAGGCAGAAAGGAAGGATAAGAGTAATGAGCTTCCTCTGTGAGAGGCATTGTCTTTTTATTTGGGAAGAGACTCCCTCCCTAGCATACTTCCACTAACAAGACTGGATAACATGCCCACCATTTCCATATCTACTTTGAACCAACCACAAATCATCTCATGAGGCTGGGACAGGGGCCTAGCTTCCCTGACATCTGGGGCCTCCTTCCCACCACTTGAACATATAAGGGTTCTGTACAGTGCGGGACAATGGCTCTCGAGATGGCAACAGCAGTATCTGCCAAGGGTAGGAATAACCAGCACCATGATGGGAAGGCTGCGGCTAGAGTCACAAGGTTAAGATCACACAGCTGGCAATGTGGCAGCTCTAGGATGCTAACCCAGGTCCGTCTGACGCTAAATCTCACCATCTTAACTGTGGCGTAGTACATTGCTAAGTGGAGTCAAGAATGGATAGACCGACATTTGGCTTTACCAATAACAGTTGTAGGATCTTGGGCAAGTTACCTAATTTCCCTAAGACTCGATGTACTTATCTCTAAATTGTGGCTAGTAGTGGTACTTAAGCAAGAGGTCACTGTGAGCATGAAATGAAATGGTATCTGTAAAGTGCCTGATAATACTAAAAAGTCAAATCCTTGGCTATTGTTATTTTTGTTGTCACTGTTATTATCATTATTTTTATATTGTGAGACTTTGTAGGTACAATGGCCTTGTACTCAGATGAGAACACCATTTTGGGAATCTTTGGGCAACTGGTAGTGTTACTGAGTAATGAGTCAGTTTGAAAGTGAGGAGAAGATGTTGAATATAGCACTAACTATGGGTTCCAGAGTCCTACAGCTTGTCTTGCTTGAATTTAGTGAGCCAAGGACTGGTGGCTCAAAATAGGTCCACAGATCTACAAGATGCGATAGTTCGATTTTAGCCTTGGTTCTGCTATTAGTATTATCAAATGCTGTTTGGCCAAAAGCAGCTCACTTCTCTTTTTTGGATCTATGTGTTCTCATCTGTACAGAGAAGTTATTTTCCCTTCATCAATACTCAATGTGTAATCAACATTAATTGAGCACCTGTTATATTCACCGCGCCATGGAAACCCTGGAAGTACAGTGCTGAGTGAGGCACATCTTGCACTCAAGAAGCTTAGAGACTTAGGGAAATTCATGGTTCCTTTCAGCAGTAAATTTTAATAATGTTAGCCAGAAGGCAAGGCTAGTGACTCCCAATCCAGAGGTTTATTTTGAGGATTAACCATGTTAGTTACATTATAACTAACAGTCTCTGAATAAATGCAAATAAATAAATAAATAAATAAAGCTTTGGCAGTTTCTTACAAAGCTAAACATAGTCATACCATGTGATCCAACAATTGCCCTCCTTGGTGTCTCTCAAATGAGTTGAAAACTTATGCTCCCACAAAAACCTACATACAAATGTCTATAGCAGCTTCATTAATAATTGCCAAAAATTGGAAGCAACTAAGATGTCCTTCAATAAGTGAACAGATAAACTATTGCATACCCAAATACCAGCATGTTATTTTACAGATATCAATAAACTAATTTTAAAATTTGTATAGGGAAGGAAAAACGCCCAGAACACCCAACGCATTATGGAAAGAGAACAAAGTCAGAGGACTAATACTACCTGATTTCAACACTTACTATACAGCTATGGTTATCAAGACAGCATGGTATTGGCAAAAGAGTAAATAAATAGATCAATGGAACAGAACAGAGAGCCCAGAAATAGACCCAAATACAGTCAATTGATCTTTGACAAAGGAACACAGGCATTACAATGGAGCAAAGACAATCTTTTCAATAAATGGCACTGCAACAACTGGACATCCACATGCAAAAAAAGAATCTAGACACAGACCTTAAACCCTTCACAAAAATTACCTCAAAATGGATCATATACCTAAAAGTAAAATGCAGAACTATAAAATTCTCAGAAGATAACAAAGGAAAAACCCCTAGACCACCTTGGGTATGACAATAACTTTTTAGATACAACACCAAAAAGCATGATCCATGAAAGAGCCAATAAATAAGCTAAACTTCATTAAAATTAAAAACTTCTGATCTGCAAAGACACTGTTAAGAGAATGAAAAGACAAACCACATACTGGGAAAAGGTATTTGCAAAAGACATGTCAGCTAAAGGAATGCTATCCAAAATGTACAAAGAACACTTAAAACTCAAGAATAAGAAAATGAAAAACCTAATTAAAAAATTGGCAAAATACCTGAACAGATACATCACCAAAGAATATATAGAGATGCTAAATAAAATAAACAAACATTATACGTTACTTGGAAATGCAAATTAAAACAAGATACAACTGCACAACTATTAGGATGGCCAAAATCCAAAACATTAACACCAAATGTTGGTGAAGATTTGGAGTAATAGGAACTTTCATTCATTGCTGATGGGAATGTAAAATTATTTAGCCATTTTGGAAGAGTTTGTCAGTTTCTTAGAAAACTAAGCATATGTTTACCATAAGATCCAGCAACTACACTCTTTGGTATTTACCCAAACGAGTTGAAAACTTATGTCCACACAAAAATTTGCACATCAATGTTTATTGCAGCTTTATTCATAATTGCCAAAACTTGGAAACAACCAAGATGCCTTTGAGTAGGTGATTGAGTAAATAAACTGTGGTACATCAGACTATGGAATATTATTCAATAATAAAAGAAGTGAGCTCTCAAGCCATGAAAAGACTTGGAGAAACCTTAAATGCATATTACTAAAGTGAAAGAAATCAATCTGATAAAGCTGCATACTGTATGATTACAACCATGTGACATTCTGGAACACACAAAACCATGGAGACAGTAAGAAGATTGGTGGTTACCAGAGGTTGGAGAAGGGAGGGATGAATAGGCAGAGCATAGGGGATTTTTTAGGTCAGTAAAAACTATTCTGTGTGATACTGTAATAGTGTATACACTGAATACACAACAGCATCTATTTATCAAAACCCACAGAACTGTACAACACAAAGAGTGAAGCTTAATGTAAACTATAGACTTTAATTACTCAGAATGTATCACTATTGTCTTATAAATTGTAACAAATGTACCAAGTGCAAGATGCTCATAAAAGGAGACATGGGGAGGAAGAGTACACAGAACTCTACTTTTGACTCAATTTTCTTTTTGTAAACTATAAAAAATAAAGTGGATTATATATATTTTAGCAACACTCATATCCTTTGATCCAATCATTCCACTTCTGGGATCCTATTGAGATACAGGATATACTAGAAGGAAAACTTTATTTACAGAAGGTGAAAAATTTAACAATCAGTAGTTCACCTCTGAAAACGACATAAATAAAAGTAAATTTCTAAATGGTAGTATAAAACATTATAGAATAACATGGACGATGCCTGTGGAAAATAAGCAAAATGAAAATAATTAGAAAGCACCTTATGATAACAACTATGCAAAAAAGTTACATAAAACAACGCAAGTGGGTTATAACACATTGATAATCATAATTGATATGTTATCTAGAATCATGAAATTATAGATAACTTTATTCTTTTTTCAATTTCTTATAATAGTTTTGGTGTATCCCTTTATATATGTTTTTGATATATTCAAGATGTATATTTTATGTATATTTTTGATATATTCAAATATATGTATTTGAGATAATGTTTTTTATTTCAAAATATTAAGGTGTCCAAATGTTTTAGGTTACATGGATTGCTTTTGTAATGGTTGAGTCCCGGCTATAGGTGTACCCATTACCTATATAGTATTCATTGTACCCCTTAGGTAGGTTTTTGCCCCTCTTCCCCTACCCTCCTCTCCCTGGTTGATTTCCATTGAGTTTTACTTGGTTCTGTGTATATGTGTGCTCATCAGTTAGTTCCAATTTAATAGTGAGTACACATAGTGTTTGTTTTTCCATTTGTAAGATACTTTACTTAGGAAAATGGTGTCCTGTTCCATCAAGATTGTTGCAAAAGGTATCAATTCATCTTCTTAGGGGTGAGTAGTACTCCATGGTATACATATACCACATTTTATTAATCCACTCATGAATTGATGGGCACTTGGGTTGATTCTACATCATTGGAATTATGAATCGTGCTACAATGAACATTTTAATGCAGATGTCGTTTTGATAAAAATGCCTTATTTTCCTTTGGGTAAATACCCAGTAGCAGGATTGCTAGATAAAATGATAAGTCTACTTTTAGACTTATAGGAATCTCCATACTGTTTTCCATAGAGGTTATACTAATTTTCAGTTCCAACAACAGTGTATAAGGATTCCTTTCTCTCCGCATCCATACCAGCCTCTATTATTTTTGGACTTTTTAATAAAAGCCATTCTAACAGAAGTAAGGTGATATCACACTGTGGCTTTCATTTGCAGTGATGATTAGTGACATTGAGCATTTTTTTCATATGTTTATTGGCCATTTGTCTTTCTTCTTTTGGGAAGCTTCTGTTCATGTCTTTTGCCCAATTTTTAAAAGTGTTGTTTGTTTTTTTATGGCTGATTTGCTTGAGGTCCTCGTAAATTCTATATATTAGCCCTTTATTGGTTGTATAGCTTGTGAATCCTTTCTCCCATTCTGTATGTTGTCTATTTGCTCTGCTGATTATTTCCTTAGCTATACAGATGCTTTTTAGTTTAATCAAATCCCATCCCATTTATTAATTTTTCTTGTTGTCATGATTGGCATTGGGTTCTTAGTCATAAATTCTTTGCCTATGCCAATATCTAGAGCAGATTTTCCTATATTTTCCTCTAGAATTCTTATGAATTCATGCCTTAGATTTAAGTCTTTTATCCATCTTGAATTATTTTTTGTGAGTGGCGAAATGTAGGGGTTCTGTATTCTTCTGCACGTGGCTATCCAATTTTCCCACTATCATTTATTGAATAGGGTTTATTTTCCCCAGTGTATGTTGTTGTCGGCTTTGTTAAAGATCAGTTGGTTGTAGGTATATGGTTTTATTTATGGGTTCTGTACTCTATTCCATTGGTTTATGTCTCTATTTCTGTACAAATGCCACACTGGTTATGGTTACTATATTGTTGTAGTATAGTTTAAAGTCTGGTATGTGATTCCTCCAGATTTGTTCTTTTTGCCTGAGGTTGCTTTGGTTATTTGGGTTCTTGTCTAGTTCCAAACAAAGTGTAGAATTATTTTTTCTGTATCAGTGATGTATGATGTTGGTAATTTGATGGGGGATTGCATTGAATTTGTAAATCATTTTGGATAGTATGGGCATTTTAACAACATTGATTCTACCTATCCATGAGCATATGTTTTTCTATTTGTTTGTATCCCTTGTGATTTCTTTCCTCTGTTTTTTAGTTCTCTTTGCAGAGATCTTTCAATTCCTTGGTTAAGTATATTCCCAGGTGTTTTATTTTCTTTGTAGCTTTTTGTAAACGGTATTGAGTCTTTGACTCTTGGCTTGACTGTTGGTGGTATATAGAAATGCTACTGATTTGTGTACATTGATGTTGTATCCTGAAAATTTGCTGAATTTATTTATCAATTCCAGGAGATTCTTGGTGGAATTGGAATTCCTGGAAACCCCAGGAGTCTTTGGGGTTTTCTAGATACAAAATCATATTATCAGCGAAGAGCAATAGTTTGACCTCTTTTTTCCTGATTTGTATATCTTTTATTTCTTTCTCTTGCTTGATTGCTCTGGCTAGGACTTCCAGCACTATGTTGAATAGAAGCAGTGACACTGGCATCCTTGTCTTGTTCTACTTCTTGGGTGGAATGCTTTTAAATTTTCCCCATTCAGTATGATGTTGGCTGTGGATTTGTCATATTAATATACAGCTTTTATAATTCTTAGATATGTTCCTTCTATGCCTAGTTTGTTAAGAGTTTTTATCACAAAAGGGGGCTGGATTTTGTCAAATGCTATGTAAGGTTATATATATATATATATATATATGTATGTATATATATATATATAATATTATATATAAATATCAAAGGTCTATGAATCCTATAGCTAGAGGAGAACAGGTAATAAAGCCAGATCGCTATAGCAATAATAACACCTCCACCTCCTCCACCACCATTTCTTAGGAGCTTTCTACATGGAAACCACTTTTCTTAGTACTTCTTCAAGTTCTAACTCATTTGGGTAACTCACTCAGAACCACAAAGCTAGATGGCAAGAGGGTTACTTACATGCAACCAAAGCAACTGTCCTCTGAAGCCATGAGTTATTCAAAATATATTTATTGAGAGCATAGCAGAGTCACCAGAGGTGCTACAAGCATAAATAGGAAATAGAAATTCAAAGAGCAGGAAAGGAGGTTAAGTATCTACTGGCTCATTCACTCACCCAGCGAGCATTTACTTATTAATTCCTTACATGACAGCAGGCACTGGAGATGCACATAGGAATAAAACGAAATCCCTGACCTTTAAGATCTCCCAGTCTCATTCATCCAGGACCCTATACCTTCCAATCTGTGACATTTCTGATGGTGAGAAGGCACGCTGCCTGTAAAAGAAGAGACTGGGACCACAGGCATGAACTGGAACTCTGCCAACAACCCCAGGTGTGTGGTCACCCTAAGTCGCCCTCCACGGTGCAGCTCCTGAAGGGCAGGAACCATCCCCACAAGCCCTCTCTGCCCCCTTTAGTTCACTTAAAACTGACTTTCTGGGTCAGGAAATTTATTTCTGACTCTACCCTCACCTCGCCCCCACAACAACAAGTATTTCAGATCAAGTATCTGTGAATCATAGGTCAGGTTGACTCATTTCTTAAAGTTTCCAGGTTGCGAATGAAAACGGTATTGATGGATTGGAGGACGATCAAATACAGGGAAAGACAAGGCGACTTGGTTTACATTTGTCTACAACAATGCAGACCAGATATGCAAGCATTCTATTAAAATGAGGAAGGCAGATGCTAAAAAGTTTGCAGCGAGAGAGGGTTGGTAAATGAAAAAGACACACCATTCCCGTTTTTGTTAAACTGATTTACCATGTGTACCTTGCTAAAGCTATTCTGTTCCCTCATGGTACTGCTTTTTGTCTTATTTTGGTTAATGTGAAAAATATGGATGATGGGCTTACAGAAGAAATTCAGTTAAAGATTCAAAGCCTATAAAATTATGGTGTTTTCCATACTAAAAAGGGAAAGAAGAAAGAAAGAGACTTGGGTTGAGCATTTACTACATTTTATCCCCTGACGCCCCAGCAGGGCAGGAAGCACAGGCTGGG